ATATATGTATTTGTATGTATATATGTATGTATATGTATATGTGTATAGGAATTCAATCTGTTTCATCAGAAATTTCTCTTTTTCACTTTACTATTTGACTGGCCCATTTTTTGGCAATCAGTCGGCCCATTTTACCTGAACAATGTCAAAACTATGGGACAGCCCAAATTTCAAAACAGTAAAATTCTATTATACCAATCCAATACCAAAAAAAAACCCATAAAAAAAAAGCAGCTGAACACAGTTAAATGTCATACACAGGGTTTGTTTTTTTTCTTAGTGTCCGAAGTGATTAACCAGAAATTGTCCCAGTTTACCTGAGTTCACCCTAGTTGTTCCATAATGGAAACACTTACCTTAAAGTCAAATTTTCCATGTGACTGCTTTGTATGGTATCCTGTTTCTGTTTGCTCTACTGTATGGTGGACCTGCCCTCAAAGACAGACTGATGTCAAACATACATAATCATCAGTCTGTATGTTGTCTGAATACATTACCACGGTTTTCGATATCAACAAAAGCTAACCACCCAATCCAACACAGACAGTGCTGGGAAATGTCCCTAAACAACTCTCTGTTTTTCCTTTACCAATTTCTACACAGGAATCATTAATAGACTGCTACAAACCAACAGAGGTAAGTCTTCTGGTGAAGCTCTCTTTTCCATGTCCACTGCTTGAGATCAGTGACCTGAAATTATTGATCCGCACATGCAGTATTGAATTTGTAAAGTCACATTTTCATGGTACTGTCACCCTGACCTGAATGAAACAAGTGTTAGATGGGCCCAGAAGCTACACAGAACACATACAAGCACACACCATTTAACTTTGTTCACACTGGCGCTTGTTTTTGAGTGTGCGAATGGGTGTGTGCGGGTAAGCTTTCAAGTATCTGGGTTGGGGGAGTTAGGGTTAAGCTATTTTGGTGATTAAAGGTGGTGCAGAACAATCACATTACCTCTACATACGGCATTAGGTCGGCCTGTTGAAAAAATGTCAAGGTCACTGGCATCTGAGATAACAGCAATGTTCAGCCAGGTTGACAGCTGCTGATACGTGTCACTCCTACACATCCGTACTCGCGCGCACACACACACACACACACACACGCACACACACACACATTGTAATCCCTCGAGTCTGGAGTAGCCCAGATGCCATTTTGAACACAATCCCACATAGATGACATGGACTAAGGACAGTGAAAAGCAGAGGCAACGGAGAGAGAAGGTGAATTGTGACAATTGGAAGCAAATGATAAATAAAGGATGAAAGTAAAAGAAAGAGAGAACTGTTGGTGAGAGAATGACAGGGGATGAAAGAAGCTGTTACAAATGGTGAAGGATAGATGAGACCTCTAGATAGAGGAGGAGGAAAAGAAGAGAGTGACAAGAGGAGGGAGGTATCAGTAATTAGGGCACGATAAGTGTCACCTCTGTTACAATTGTGAGGTTTATATTTCAGCATATTCTCGATCCGAGTCACACCATCGCAGACTTTTATAGAGCCATTAGATCAAGATGAGGAATCTTTTTCTTCCATCCTTTTCTGACTTATTGCCTCATAAACTGGCATTTCTTTTTTGTGACTTAAAAAGCAATACCCATATGACTGGGGTTGGCCAGTGTTTGTTTTCTGTTTTGTACAAATTCTTTTTTTCCTTTCCTACAGTGCTACGCTTAAGACTCTAGCCACCACTCATTTTTTATGTTTTGGTGCCAATAAACCAGATTTCCTTGTAATTTTTTAAAGTGGTGTGAACAACAGTACTTCAGGCTTTCTGAAGGTCTTTCAAAGTTTTCCTGCTGCTTTTTCACTTATTTTATTTTTAGTTCAGTCATTATACCTGACTATTTTCAGAGGAATGTTTTTGGTTTGCTTTTGCTGAACACAGACCTATGAATCATCTAAGCATAAAAAAAGCACCGATTCAAGGAATGAATCACTGTTGTGTTTACACATAACAAATAACTTTGCAATTACCTGTTACAATTTTTAATTGTATCTTTAGGAACTGTATTATTAGGTCATTCGGCAGAGTAAATATGGTTGTATGTATAACCTGTCTTCTGTCAGTTTATATTTATTAAGCCATTAGACAAAGGATGCCTCCTTTAGCCTGCAAAATCAAACAGAAACTAAAGAAAATTTTGTAGATTTGAATTATGGGCTTCTGATGCAAATTTGATTTGATAATTGCTTAAGCTCGATTTGTGTGTGTGCGTGTGTGTGGTTGTGTGTGTGTGTGCATGTGTGTATCTGTTTAAATCATTTTTTCCTCTTCTCCCTACAGAACTTTGTCCGTGAGCTCCTCGCAAGGATAAGGGGAATGAGAAAACTTAGCGCTCCAACCAAGAAGGGCCTATAATGGCTCAAACATCAACCATCGATCAGCCATAAACTCCGTCATCTCCTACTTAGCCCGCCATACATGGACTGTCATTAAACAGAATAATTTATCAAAACATCAGTAACTGATCTGCAAACATCTGCTGTATAATCCATGAATATAGCACTAGTCATTCTTTTCACGATCACAATAACAAGGTGTATTATAATATTTGACTGTTGAAAGGTACATAAGTAAAGCAGAGCCAAAATGTTTAAATAGTTACAATATCTGGAATGTGCCAGAACTGCAACTGTGCTTTAATACAAACACCACCTAACTTCATGTGTCAGAGCCATGTTAAAGCTTTTTAAACCACTCCTACAAACCAAACAGCCATACAGAATAAAACGCCAACAAAAAACTTTAAAAGAGGTGGTAAAAATAGTTGCAGTAGGTGTGAAATTAGCTGTAGCACTATTTAAACACAGTGCTTCTTGATCTTTTTTTTTTTTTCTTGTCCTATTTTTACGGAGGTTTTTTTGCTGTTGCGTCTTTCTTTTTTTTTCTAAAGTACTGTACGTTGCCATTTCTTGTTCACGTGATTGAAATGTGGTCTTCGAGAGTTTTAGTTCTTGTCATCCTCTTTATCCCTACTCCATTATTGCTTGCAAATGTAAGGGAGCTCTGTGGTCTTGTGTCAAGTTCATTTAAAAGCACAACGCATTAATACATGAATCCCATCGTCTTTTGTGATGTGTAAACTCTGAAAAGAGTGGGAAAGTTTTATCAAACAGTGCTAAAATCATATCAAGATTTTCTTTTTTCCTTTTTTTGTTACCCAGTCTCCTAGTATACTTTTCGCCACAGCAAGGCATGATGGGTGTTGCAGCTCTCTGTATGAGACTACAAAAACCTGTATGATTGGCAGCCTTTCGCTCGTCATTGTACATGTTCATGATCTTCCTTATTGGAATACATATCAGTTGGTAGTTTAGATTCCAGCTCAGCACCCAAACACTGTAGTAGTTTTTACACCCGGTTCACTTAATTCTGCTAACTTGTCTCTGTAATAGCGGTTGATGTTGCCTTTAAGGACATTCAGGATCAGTCCACTTTTTACTCAGCACTGAACTTAAACTACTGACGACTTGAAAGCGTAAGAACAGTGGCATAAGAACCCCGGAGGACTTGACACTTTAACTTGCCGACAGAAGGTGTGCCAAAACTGGGATCCTAAAATGTCAAACATCATGGAGGCATTAGTCTGCCGCAGCTCCTACTACAGAGATATCTTTGGGTGGGCTCAGAAGTTTTAGTAATTCTTTTCATGTTGCAGGAAAACTGTGTTACAACTGAATATAAGCAGGTTTAAGAGGTGAATTTGTTTTGTTGCTAGTAAATTTCCCTTCAGCAACACACTGAAAAATCTCTGGTACAATCACGAATCCCTTACAGGGTTGTGCCCAGTTTCATTTTTGGAATAATTAATCGTAAAAAAAAGGAAAGTGCAGACTAAAACCTGCAGTTTGATATAAAGTATAAACCCACAGCTGCCAAAGACAAAAGCAGGGCAATGTTTTATTTTAACATAACACTTGCAAAGCACCCTCTTGCATGCTAACAACAGAGACAAGGTATTGATGAAGAGTATATTATAGACCTATAATCAAGCAAAAATAAAAAAAAAAACAACCTTTTTTGACATAGCTACCATGTATGACTTTGTAGAACCTTTTGTGTTGAGACAACGTGACGTCACGTTGGAGATAATCCAGGAAATTTTAAAAAATGGTGCTGTTTTTGATGTTCTTCCCAGACTTTGGTTATATAAAAGGCGTTTTCACTGTTGACTGGTGACTGAGAAATGTGTCTGCAAGACGTCTGTCTGTCTTGACTGATGGAGTGGATGCTCCAGAGTTGCATCTTCTATTTCTCTGTCTGAACTGGGTTGGATACGTGTCATCACTCTAAGCTAGCAATGGTGAGTTTTTCTGGCTCGGTAAATTTGGAGGAAAACCATGAAGATGGAGCCATTACGGGCTACTGAGATTCATATCAAGGTACTCTCTAGGATTTTCTGTCAAGAAATACTTCAGGGGCAAGTGGCAGATATTTTATTATTTATGGGATTTCATGTGGAGAGTATTTTGAAAGTGTCCATATATAGAAAGCTCTATGTTTGCATGTGTTTTTAAAGTAGCATGTTGAGGGGAACATTTTCTTGGCCTAAAGGTTTTTATTTCACAAAGTAAAACACTTTCCTTTTTTATACCTTTATTATTATTATTATTATTATTATTATTATTATTATTATTATTATGAAGAAACAAAAATGTTATTCAGTTGCAGTTTTGTTCTGTACATCCACAATAAGCTTTCTTCTTTTTAAAATGTAATGTGGTGTGGTTTGTTTTTGCCGATAATAAAAATGCAGAATGACTCTGTACTGTTTAAGAACATGTTTCTACTTGTCTACTTCTTTTCTACTTCTAGTTTTAATTTTACTTGACATGCAAAATGCATTTGTATGTTTCATTACAGCCACATTTCACCATTTGCATAGTCTTTTCTCTTGAAACACTGCTCTTTATTAGATAGATACTATATTAGCTGTTAGCTTCTGTTAGCATGGTAAAAGTCTTCTATAACCTAGACTTATTTACACTTATTTTTTACAATGGCAGCTTGAATCGCAACTTCCTTTTTAAGTAAGTTTTTATGCAATAGGCAGTTGATTGAAAGACCTTTGTTTTCAGAGTTTTTTACAGAACCAGACAGCAGCAAGATCCATTCCCAAGTGTCTCCAAAGCACAAGAAGGTGTTAACATTTATGCAGATGATACAGCAACTGCAACGTCACTGATTACTTATGGCCCCGGTCACGCAGGCCTGGAGACTGGTCGTCATGAGGGAAACGTGTACCAGTTAGCAAGCGGTTACTGACAGAAACTGTGAAATCAACTCCTAAAATCACAGTCACCACGCCTAAAAACAGATCAGTGAACCCCAAGCAATGACCAGTCTTGAGGGAAAAGCGTGTATAGATGTATAGATGCTGGCAGTCACTGGCTATGACTTATGTTGCTACTCACAAAACATCCTTATGACCCTATTGTTTGCTAGCAGGTTTCCATGGTCATCTACAGTCTGTGTGAAAGATGCTGACTTGTCTGCAAACACTCACTAAATGCTTGCCTAGCAGAAGGGAAACTGTGGGAAAAAATGCAACGCAAACTTGAAAGCAACCATTCGTCGACCCTAACTGGTTGGTTTGCCATCAGGATCTAACAGCACACTACTGCACAGAGATTACCACACAGAGGCACAATAAGCTACATTTTAGTAAAAGGAGTTTAGTAAACTGCATAAAGGATGTGGCTACTATGAAATAACTATGAAAAGAGAATGACCGTGTAAAGACAGCTTTGACGTCCTGCATCATATCTTGCTTGGTGATAGATCTCTCCATCACTGTCATAAGTGTGTCTCAGTTAAGCTGAGAGAAAAATTAACATAAAAGTCTAAATAAAGAACGTAGCTTGCATAAGGACTGAAAACAGTTAGCCTGTCCAATATTAAATAAAACTCCAGCATCAAATATAAACCTTACTATTTCATTTTATTTTTAGAAATATTAAAGTCTGAGAAGTCTTTCCCTATTGGTAGTGGTATTGTCTACAAGATGTTATCTCCCTAAACCAGGCAGGAGGGTCCTTCCATATTTATGATGCCCATTTATATTTGTACATGTGCATCTGTGCGTGTCCATGTCATTATGCATTATGTGCTGAGATCTGAGAGTTCTGTCACGGATCCGTGGGGGCATATGAGAGCATCGCGGTGCCCAATGTGCTCCCCTTCAATGCCTTATAGTGTGGCAGTAGTTTAGTAGGACACGCCTGCACGCTGTCTGACTCTGTAAAGGGCTCATCAGGGTATGACATTATTGCTCAATGTGCGCACGAGTAGCCTTTCTCTGCAGCACGTCTAGCCCCATATGGACTGGCCCACTGGCCTACTGTACACTGTTGCTAGGTAGAAAATGTTCATTGATATAAGAGACAGATTTAAAGCTGCTGTTTAAAAGGGATCTGCAAGAGTCTACACATGGATCATTGCAATGATCTTGGGGGGAAGATGTCAGCATGTCTTCACTCAGCTTGTATATTTTGTTTCTGAAGGAAAGTCAGGTGGAAGAATAAAGGCCAGAGAGACACATTTAATGAATGTTAAAACGAGGTTTTTTTTGTGGCAAAGACCGTGACAATGAAGGTCTTTTGAATCATTAAAACATGTTTCTAAGCAGCCACTCTGGATTTCACTGCAAGAACAAGAATTGCACATGCATTGCTGGTGCTGCTGCACGTGTGTGTGTGCCTTTAATTCCATGACCCACTTTTCACAGCTGGGGCTGGCTGGCAGAGAGTGCTAGTGCACGCTGCCTTGAATAATTGGGACTGCAAGGTGAATGTGAGGAGAATAGTTAAAGACAGGAGCTCCCTCCCTGCCAGTCAGCCTGCCCGGTTCAGTCAACTGGCTGCACACCAGCAAATCTCACAGCAGCACGGTGCTCACAAGTTGCTGTTGGTCACGTCGTTTTGCGATATTAACGCTGATGTGAAAGGAAGACAGCTGTTTGACACAAACAGGGAAATTGTATGGATGTATGAAATTAAACGACACCAGCAGGAGGATGTGTCGTTCCGGCGAGCTGCTGCCAGATTGTGTTTTCTGAGGAGTGCATTTCAAGTCGTACAACAGAATACAGTGCAGTATATCTCCTGCTGTAAAGACCCTCCTGTAGTCTTCCCATCCCCCTCTTCCCATTTGCCATTCTCTCTGTTGATCATATAATTTCTTCTACCTTTCTTTCTTCTTCACTACGTTCCCCCTCCCCTTTCTCCTCTGTGGATTCGGTAGTCTTTCATGCAAACATTTCACAAAGAAAAGAAGGGGAAAATGTTACGAATATAAAAAGATAGATAGCCAGGGCAGTGGAGCAAGAGATGGGAGATGGAGTGACACAATTCTCCACAGCTTGAAGATAGATCCCATCGTGTACCCACTGCTGTGGAACCTAACAGCACCATCAGAGAAATGCTGGTGCAGGGAGTAACGCCGCTGTAGCCTGTTCATTCATTGACATGACAGGCAATTCAGTCATACAGCATCATTTATTCCACCGAATGGGAGTACGAAAATGGGGGTTGATTTTTTCTTCTGTTGCCCTCATGACTCTCAATCATCCTTTGCACACTAGACCAGCATTCTGTGCAAAGAGGGCACAGCATGCAGGTTTCTCTTGTTGTCATTACCGTGATTAACTGATGCACAGTAACCCTGTTAAAAAGAAGAAATGCACGAAGAGGCTTAGATAGTGATGTCTCAATCTGAGTAACTTTTGGATGCTTACTGAATATTTTATTCTTCTTCAACAGTAAGTACAACCAAATCTCTGAGAACAACCTCCTTTCTGCACTTTATAAATACTATATGACACACATGCATGTGTTCCACTTACACGGTCTGCATGTGTGTGCGTGGTAACTCCTGCAATGCATGTTATGGGAAAACTCTTTAATTTCACTACGCCACGTCCATTCGACTTTCCACTCCAATAAAATGTTACAACTCTTGTTGTTTAAGCATAAAAAACATGAGTGTGCACAGACACAGACTTTGTTTGAAATATTAATGTTGTGCATTGTGACTACTATTACTACTACTATGGCTCAAGGCAAATACAGAGAGCTGATTTGGCTGAATGAGTATGACCTGCTGTTGTACATGTGCACCAGTTTTACTAAGAGTAGGTTCAAAATACATTAGCTGGTATAGATGAGATTAGTATAAAGAAAAAATAGTATCCACTGTATGTTAGGGGATGGCAGGAGAGTCATCACCCATTTTCTAACTGCTAAATGAAGATGCATCTTTGGTTGGAGGAAGCTGGAGTACCGAAAGGAAAACCCCCCAAGTGTAGCCAGCAAGAGGTTCAAACTCAAAACCATGCATCAATGCAACAATGCTAATAACTGCACCACTGTAATGCTTACACAATGTTTTTTAGAAGAAATACCAATGCAACAGTCTGAAATACTTAAAAAAGTACTGAAAAGTAGTTAAAATTCAATATATGCACAGAAGCATTATCAGTCAGACGTACTTAATGGATGAAATTGAAGTTCTTGCAACCTTCCCATGCCTTATTTCTTGCTTTACACTTCCCACTTTGGCCTACAGGTCGAATGAGCAGAAATTCATACAGCGTTTTGTTGGTTTGTCTTCTTGATCACATTTTTTCAGATTACACACAAGAGCAGTTTTGTTGTGATTCAGTATTTTGCCCAAGTATATTTAAAAAAAATAAATAAACACAGTTTCCAAAGTGGCCAATTTGTATATCTGAGTATATTTTACATTTAAGGTTTTACGGCTGTGTTAAACATGCAATATCTAAATATATCTAACATAGAAAAAGTGGTGTTAACTGCAACGAATGCTTTTGCGGAAAAGACATTTAAAAATAATCACCAGCCATTTTATTATATTCATCTTTTTGACTGCTCATTAACCCAAATATCTGATCAGCCCATCACATGGCAGCAACCAAATGCATTTAGATATGTTGACATGATCAATATGACCTGCTGAAGTTCAAATCAAGCTGTCAGAATGAGGAAGAAAGGTGATTTAAGAGACTTTCAATACGGCATGGTTGGTGATGCGAGAGAGGCTGGTCTGGGTATTTCGGAAACTGTTAATCTTTTGGGATTTTCCCACACATCCGTCTCAGAGAAAGGTCAAAAAAAGAGAAAACATCCAGTGAGCAGACGTTTTGAAGAAGCGGAAGTTGTGCCAGAGGTCAGAGTAACTGACCAGACTGCTTGGAGCTGATAGGAAGGTAACAGCAGCTCAAATAAGCATTCATTACAACCAAGGCATTCAGAAGAACATCTCTAACACTTTATTACAAGCAGAAATAGTTGCGTTAAAAATACTCTGATAAAACTTAAAATACTGATTCAACACCTTTACTTGAGTAAAAGTTCAAAAAAAGTACAGGATTTGAAATGTACTCATAGTATCAACGTAAAAAGCAACTATTTGGAGGATGTTTCTATGATGTAACTTAGCTAACTGAACATCACTGTCAATAAAATAATATTAAGAGTATACTTAATATAATTAACTGTAACTCTGAATGAATGTACATGACTTGACGTAGAACACAAGCAGAGAAACGGAATAAAACAATTAAAAAAAACACTCTGTTTGAGCTGTCTTATGAGTAATCGTTCCCTCCATTTAGGTTCAAATCAGTTTGATGTCTGTTATGTGAAATAACGGCTCTAGAATTCACTAAACCTAAAGAAATGTTTTGAAAATGAATAATGATTCTCAGTTTCTGCTGCAGCGTGCATACTCAAATGACCTCCACAGTCACAGACAGAGATGGGC